ATTGTTTTGGGAATACCAGCTACCAAAGGAGAAGAGAAGACCCGACAGTAAGAAGCGAAAGGTCGGGGCGTTCTGCCGTGAGGAAAATGCACCTTTATGCGACAATGCTGTGATGGGGTGCGAGGACGGAAAAACTAAGCATGCCAACGTAACAGGGCAAGCAAAGCTTAGACGAAAAGTCAAGGATGGGGAGGGGACAGCCATGCAGTCAAGCAACATGAGGCCAAACTATGGAGAACGAACCCTTGTGCATGTCGTCTGGGTGGCCCCGATGCGCGCGACAAGGCAAGGTAGGGTAGGAATCACAAACGCCGGCAGGCATGGTGACGACACAGGCGTGGGTAGTTGTGGAAAAGGCTGGCGATCCATTGTCCAAGCAGAGCAAACAGCAAAAGCCACAGAGCCACGGTCGACCCACTGGTGATGGGGCCAAGATGGGATAAGGTTAAGCGGGAGGAGATTCAAGGCCTTGGGAGAGGCTTGGAGAGGCCAAGCAGCGCGGGATGCGGGACGGCTGAGGGCACAGGGGGCCCAATGAGATACGGAGGCGGACGAGGGAAAAGCTCTTTCAGTTTGGTTGAAAGGTCGGCCGTTTCGCCGTCAGCAGGATTGGATGCCCTCTGTTCTTGTGTTTGCCTAGGGATCTATCACTCTCCGCCACTGTGGTTCTGACTGGGTGACGCGGGAGGGGGTTCCCCGTTGCGTCTGCCGAGGAGAATTCCTAGGGAGTTCGGGAGGTGGTGGCGGTGGTGGCGGTCCGGTGGGAATGAACACAAGACAAAATGGGTCCGGAGAGGAGCAGTGAGCTCACACCAAAGCTTTACTATTTGAAATGGATATCGATTGAGCAAGCTGATACCAAAATGGTGTGCTCGAAGCTTGTAGGCGACGGCCAAATGAGAGAATGTCGAGGCGGAAGAAAAACTTCTGACGGATACGAAAACCCGATGTCTAATTCTCTTTTTGGTTTTCCTGGTGCCCGGTACGTCATCTAGAGCCGCAGGCAGACTGAGGAAACCGCGCAGTCGTGGTAAAGAATGAGGTGATGTAGGTAGGTATGCATGCAATGCATGTACGAGGTATGTTTTTGTTTAGAACTATCTGCCCAGTCCTTATCGAAGCTTTTTCACTTTTTCTCCCAGGTCTCTTGTCCAAAATTGCCCAGCTTGGCTATCCACTGCATCATGGTGTGGCTGTCGATAAAATCATACTGATCGTCCACCAACTTCCCATCCTCGCTCATGGTTAGCGTGATGATATACTCGTTGTCATACTCGCCAGCGTCCGCAGTGGCTTTGGCGTGCAAGAACAGGGCAACTTTGCGCGTGGTCTCGTCGACAATGGCTTCTGTCATCTCGGCATGGTAGGTGTGCATCATCTTGAAGACCTCGACATTGAAGGCAACATACTCGTCGTTGTTGCGAGTCGGGCCCTTGACCGAAGAAGGTCCACCTCGATGGGTACAGGATGGGGTGCAACAAGCAGCGATGGTAGGAAAGTCGCGCTGGTTGTGTGCGTCGAGGTATCGTTTGGCTGTGGCGAGGAGCTGCTCACGCAAAGACATGTCGATGCGGACTGGTCGGTCGTGGGCGGTCTCTGCTTGATTCCTGTACAAGTGGTAGTGTATTCAGTCCTTCACCGGATGTCTGCGGGAGTAAAGCAACATGCGCAACGTAAATTCGCAGAAAGACATCGTAATATTAGAAGATCAAAGCCCAGAGTAGACTGGTGGCCTGAAGCACCCAAGCACTGCCATCGTTGGCCAAGTGGCCATCAGATCAGACATACCCAATCCTGTTGATTGAAAATAAGAAAAGGGATACCTCTATATCTGAGAGCCAAGTATACGGAGTATAGTCGTAAGAGTGACTGGGTGACATTGTCTAGGTACCGGAGTTCATGGCTGTAGCATCTTTTTTCGTCAGACACGATATTCTTGCCTGCGGGAGCCTCATGCATCGTGGCATCTTGACTGGCGTAATTTCTAGCATGCTGTGTTACCATAGATAGACATGTTCAGACGGACGACAGATGCTGAGCCGGACTCGAATCTTCTCTTCATTCATGTAGATGTGCAGACAATAAATACAGACTGCCCTGTGTGAAAATAGCTGCACCACAGTCCGCACTTCTGTGTCGCTGGCCGCGTCATGTCATACAGAATTTCCCTTTCTGGGGACAAACTGCGGCCCTGCAGACTCGCATCGATGCCTTGTGGATTCAAGTGCAGCTGAAAATGTGACAGGTTTCCCCTGCGGCGGACTGCGGTACAACTAATTCACCATCCATCCATTGGGAATTCCCTTGATCTGTCCCGAGCATCTCGAAATTCCCATTTCTTTTGTCGTACCCTGAAAACGACGCCCCGACTTCGTAGTTCCTTAGACTTTCACACCTGGCTTCATCCTTCCCCGACCTCCCCCTTCCAGAAACCCACCACGCCTTCGATTCAACTTCTCTCGTTGTTACCCTCAGACCCGCCTCCCTTTCATCGTGTCCTCCTCTTCTTCAGCTGGCCAAATTTCAAATCTGAGTCCCTGCTAAACAGTTGTCACCATCCCCGACTTTCTCAATCCGCAGCCACCTCCTGGTACCGAAACACGTCCTCCTACACGGCCGCTACTTCAAGAGCTAAACCACACCAGAGATACAAGGTTGAGGGGGTTGTGATGAGTTGGAGTGATGAACAGGCATCACGCCTTTACCAATGGCTACGCCGCCAACAAGAAACGAGATGACGACATCTATCGTCCATACAGTGACCGCTCCGATCTCGAAAGCAAGTATATTTGGGGTCTGCCAGATTTGGTCGAGGACGAGAAGGTGGATTCTTCCTTTACACGAAAATTCGAGCCTCGAAAACGAGCCCTCCACACCCGGTCTCGCCTGATCCGGCTGGGCTTGATTGTCCTGGTGACATGCTCCCTAGCCTTCTACTTGTTCTTTCCCTCCGACTCCACTTTGTCGTTATTGTCGAATAATTCGAGCCCTTCGTTTCAATACGATGATATCGAGACGCTGCGGTACTACGATCTCGAAGATGTCCAGGGAACGTCGGTGGGTTGGGAGAGGGAAGAACGTGTCCTCCTTTGCACCCCCCTACGAGACGCCGCACCCCATCTACCAATGTTCTTCGCCCATCTAAGGAACTTCACCTATCCACATCACCTCATTGACCTAGCTTTCCTCGTTTCCGATTCCAAGGATAACACCGAAGAATTGCTGTCCCAAATGCTGGAAGCACTGCAAGCCGACTCGGATCCTTCACAGCCGTACGGCGAGATTTCGGTGATACACAAGGACTTTGGACAGGCTGTCGGTCAAGATGTGGAAAGCAGACATGGCTTTGCGGCTCAAGCCAGCCGAAGAAAGTTGATGGCGCGGGCACGGAACTGGCTGCTCAGTGCGGCTCTGAGACCATACCATAGTTGGGTCTATTGGCGTGATGCAGACGTCGAGACGTGTCCATTCACCATTATCGAGGATCTCATGCGGCATGACAAGGATGTAATTGTGCCGAGTGAGTCTAGCTGAGTGGCATTTATGTCATGTCTCCAACTAACAGGAATGAATAGATATCTGGCGGCCTCTACCTGATTGGCTGGGTGGTGAACAACCATACGATCTCAACTCGTGGCAAGAATCCGAGACCGCCATTGCCCTCGCCGAATCACTGGACGAAGATGCTGTCATTGTTGAAGGCTATGCGGAGTATGCTACGTGGCGCCCTCATCTGGCCTACCTCCGCGACCCCTATGGGGACCCTGACGTCGAGATGGAACTGGACGGTGTTGGCGGAGTTTCTATCCTCGCCAAAGCCCGGGTATTCCGTGCTGGTGTACATTTTCCGGCCTTCTCCTTCGAAAGGCACGCCGAGACAGAAGGGTTCGGAAAGATGGCCCGACGCATGGGATTTTCTGTGGTAGGGCTTCCACATTATACCGTGTGGCATCTGTACGAACCCTCGGTGGATGACATTCGGCACATGGAGGAAATGGAGCGTGAGAAACGGGAACGTGAAAAGCAGGAAAAAGAAAACGCCGAACAGGTCAAGAAACTCGAAGACGAGTTCCAACAGGTGGGCTCTCAGTGGGAGGAGGACAAAGAAGCCATGGCAGCCGTCGCCCCGAAGAAGGAAGGTGTGAAATTGGTCAACAAAGGCGAGAAAAAGGCTCCTGCTGGGTAAAGCAGAAGACGACGACAGCTGAAGTGGACGAAGAATGGGATTTTAATGCAACAACCATTGCTCATGGGTGGCTACCTGTCGAGCTACACGATACAGCGGTCTCGGGTAGAGGATCATGGAATTCAGGAAAAAAGCAACAGATAACGGATCATGGGATATGGGATAGAAAGCGAGCGATCCAAACATCTTGAGCCAAAGCATGATGCATACATGGACGAGAGTTGGCGGCGTTGTGTGTGTCGGCCATTTCCGGGGGTCAGGTATTTTGGGCAACCTCTCTGTTGGTGGGAGGCTCTTTTTGTCACCTGTACACAATATCTTTTGAGAGATGACCAGCGACCGTCACTGCTTGCCCAGTGATCAGTCATTTTATTAGGGAGGAATACGGGTGCTTGCGGTGGTTAACGGCCACCGTGAGGACATGCAAGAAAAGTAACGCAGCAGTCCATCTCCATCCATCGTCTCGGTAAGGATTTGAAACATGCCATCTTGGTAGGCTATGGCTTGGGCAAATGCGTGTAGGTGACTATTGTCAACTGCCTTCAGGGCGGTAGTGGTGTTGGTCGTTGTCGCCGATGATGATGGGCGAGAGGAGGAAATGACGTCGTTTGTCTGCGGTGCCGCGACGCGTCCCAATTTGGACGCGTTAAACCCCAAGTCTGACGCACAATGCAATGCATAGTGCAACGATACACCGTCATGGTCAACCAATCTGGGAGTTAACACCATCAGACCACTCGGCGAGTAACTCAGTCATTCCAACGTACTATTCAAAGCCTGCATAGTCGATGGGAGAGGGGAGATAGACAGCGCAATGTCTACGGCCTCGTCGTCCTCACAACCTCTGACCTTCCCTCCCGTGCCCGTCTCCTCCACCCTCGCGCACCAGAGCCTCCGCCTGCTGGAGCTACCGCCTGAACTGCTCGACGAAGTGGAGACGCAGATCAAGAATCCGAGTAAGAGGCGGAAACTGTGGTTAAAGTCGTCGGTGGACATTGCCCCTTCAACTCTGGCACAGGGACAACGACTACTGCAGAAAGGGTTCAGCGGAGGAGGAACAACATCTGTGCGGGATGCAGAGGGAAAAGAAGGGTTTCTTCATCTCTGCACCGACGACAAGATCTGGGCTGTCAAGCAGGTCAGCACGAGTAATAGCGTCTACATCACGCAGACGAGTGACTCGTCTCACGGCCCGCGGGCCAACGACAAAGGCCGAGATGAAGGCGGAGACGGAGACACCTCTATGGCTGGTGTGGATGAGGATGGTGATGAGGCTACCTTGGCCAAGGCTGCTGGTTCTAGTACCAGAGGTGGTGGTATCACGACACGAGCACAAGTCAGAAATGTTCTCGAGTTGATCAAGGTGGAACCGGACGAGCGAGAGATTGAGAGAAGAGTTCATGAATTGACACCCCTATATCACGACGTGGATGATGATGTCGATCCTCTTGACCGCAGCCGTATGGGGAGTGGGACCAGGTCGAACGGGGCTGAGGGAGTATCACCGAGGAACGTGCTGGACAACATTCCCGCTCCGACGAGGCTGATCCGGGATGTGATGAGGAAGTCGTGTGTCTTCCAGCTGCCCCAGCCGACAGCGCCAAAGGGCGAGGAAGACAAGAAGATGGTCTACCTACCCACGCCAACCTTGCTACTTCGGCGCTGGAAGGACTTCCTACAGCAATGTACCATCTCAGGCGTCAAACTCGAAAAGAACGACCACGTCCTCCGCGGAAACAGCCTCCGTGCTGTGCTTGACGGGCTGGTCGAGACAGAAGAGTCGGACGTGGGACGTGCTCTGGCTCTGAATGTCACGCTGGCTATCTTACGCCGACTTACAGACGAGGTGGCAGACGACGGACGGGACCCCCATACCTGTGATGACCCCTCGCTACTCGACATGGACCTGAGCAGCCCTGACTCGATCAGCGAGGACCAACTAGTCAATACGAAGCTAAAATTCAACCCCAGCCTCAGCCGCGACGTGGTTGGACAGTGGCTCCTCTCGTCCTACGCCCGGAAACGGTCACTTGTCCCAAACTCCTCCGCCGACCCGTCTCCTGCCCAAGGGGGACTGGTACTGCGCGTCGACGAATTCATCTCCGAGTGGAGACACCTGCTTCCGGACTCCTGGGCCATGAACTGCGACATGGCAGGACCGGTTTCAGCATCCGTCGATGGTGTCAGTGTGGCGCGGGACGACCAAGGTGTGCAAGTCCTGAGATTCGCATCTCCTTCCTCCGGCGTGGCGGGTAGCCTCGCAAAGGACGCGCAGGCCCAGAGCCAGAGCCAGAAGAAGCGGAAATGGCACGAAAAGTTCGGGGCGCAGAGGACTGCCCCGGCGGTAAAGCGGTGAAGAGGTGAAGCGGTGATGGGTACGAGGTACATATCGTGCAAGTAGATACGGTTGCGCGGAAATCAGATCCTCATCATCTACTCAGTAAACTCACTCGCTCAGTCAGTCAGGTCGAATACATGAATTACATTGAGAAATTCCCGTCGCATTCCCCATGAAATCCAACGTCCCTGGGTCACCGTTCTACGTATACACAAGCACCACCTCCCCTCTGAGGTAAAATAGGTAAAAGAAGGAGGTAGATAGATACCCGAGGTATGTATATGTGGGTATGTATGTAGACGCCCGAGGCCAGCAGTACTAATCGGAGTAGTAGTAGTAGTAGTGGTAGTGTAGACAAACCCTTCCCCATTCCCTCCTCGGCCATTGCACCATCTAAAACCGAGAAATGCTCCCTGAGGAACCTGGGAAACCTGGGAAAGGATGGAGATGATTTCTTTCTTCTCCAAGAGTGGGATATCTAGATGTTGGAAAAATATGTTCAAGCGACCAATTCCCTCAGCTTGCTCTTCTCATCTTCATTCAGCAGTTCAAACAAGGCGGCGAACCCGTCGTGGCCGGCCTCGTTCTTGAACCACTGCAACAAGTAGTCGACCGTCTCTTCGTCTCGGGCTCGGGACCCCGTGGGACTCAGGTCTCGGTCGTCGGTGCCGTCGCCAGAAATCCCCACGAGGGCCATCAGCTCGTTGCGCACGCTCGCACTGGCCAGGTCAATGGCGCCCGCCGAGCCGACGTCCTCCCAGTCATCGGCGTCTTCTGCGTCTTCGTCCTCTTCATCCAGCCCCTGAGCGGCGGCTTGAGCGGCCGCCAGATTGGGAAACCTCGAGGTCGCGGCATTGGCGAGCTCGTCGACCATGATCTTCAAAATCTTCAGGTCGGCCGGCACTTGCGTCCATTGATCCGGGTTCAGTTTTGCCTGTGATCTCGTCTTGATGCGTCCGCTTGACCGAGGATCCACGATCAGATCCCCCTTGACGCTCACGGCGTGGACTCTGGGATCGTGCAGTGCAAAGATCTTCGACAGCGCCACCACGTTCTGTCTCACCTCGTCGAACCCGGCAAAGTGCACAGAGTTCTCCAGCCACTTTGTCAAGACCACATTCAGCCCGTTAGAGCCGTTGATGTTGACCTCGTTCAGAAAATCCATAACTTCCTTTGGAGCCGCCAGGGAGAGCCCCACGAAAACCATACATAGGCTCTGGATAAATTGTATTCTCTCCGCTGTGGCTAGGCGAATAGCTACCGCTCGCAGCAGATCCATCAGGTATGGTCCGAGCTTGTCTGCTCCGAACTTTGTGACCAATACTGACGCAAGCCCACCGACCTCTTGACCCGCATTCTCGTCTACATCGGGGGAGTTGAGCAGGCGATTTATGATGGTCAGTGTCACTTCGACCGAGGACTTCCCCTGAGAGTCCGTCCAGGACAAGAACTGCTGTGTACCTTTGGACAGCATGTGGTTAAGTGCCAAGGTGGCTGGGCGCACAAGCTCAGGCTCAACAGCTTCCATAAGTACTCGTTGTAGTTTTGGCATCACAGCTTGCACGAAGCCAGTAGGCAGAGGGTCGGATCCGAACTCGGCCAGTGCAGAGACGAGTTCCGCCGCGAGATTCGTCAACGCAGATTCCTGAGTCATGTTGGCGATGTCGAATGCACCCGTTAGGGATGGGATGGTCTTTGCGCACAACCGCACGTACGGTTCTTGCCCAGAAGAAGACACCGATGAGACGATCGACTCAAAAGCTTCAGTGAGGAGGGTGAAGAGTTGGAAATTTGACGCCCCGTCTGATGCCAGCGTGAAGAACAAGTCAATGGCATTATTCCCTTCACTAGTTATCGTGGATGTATCCAGCATGATGGCGTCACGCAGGAGTTGGATTAGCGCAGCTTTGACGTCGTCCGCGTCTTCGAGCTCATCGCGAAGGTCGTGCGAAGAGATATATTCGCCCACCACATTGATAACTGCATTTTGCATCGGCCGTGTCACGGTCGGTGAAAGGGCTTCGATGTAGTCGTGGAGAATGCTGAGGCAGGCGACTTTAACGAGGTCGGATTCGTCCATCGACGAGGCCGTCACAGCATTCGTGAACGCGACCGCGCCGGCGGCGAGGAACTCTTCGCCGCTGGCAACCTTGAAGAAGCACGCTGCGGCCATTTGCCCTGCCGCCCGCATAAAGGGATTTGGGTGTTGGAGTGTATCTGAAAGTCCCTCGACCACCGCAGAAGAATTTTGAGGAGTAAGCTTCCCGTCGGTTTCGTCGATGTCTTTAAGGCATTGGTTCAGGAGATAGACAAGTGCTTCGCGTTCTTTCCAAGCTGATGTCTGGCCCGACAGGTTCTGTTGCTTGAAAAACAATAACGCTGCGATAGGAATCTGCTTCAACCATTCGCCCAAGCTCCGCACTGCCAGCTCCGCACATGCCGCCCGCGGCGTGTAATTTGCTGTGAGTGATGTTGCTTCGCAGAGATATAAGTTGGAGTCGTATTCCCATAAGCCTTCTTCCTCCTTCGGCACCCGGGCATACAGGACCAGAACGCGGATCAATTCTTGTAGCCAGGGTGCCGTGTGTTGCGCTTCGCCGAGTTGCTGCATTTGCGCGGTAAGCTCTTTGCGTACGGACGGGGCTCGAATAGTAACTTGTAAAAAGTCGAGTTCTTCAAGAACAAGGGCGTCCAGACTACAAGGTAGATTATCGCTGTCGACGAGTTTGCCTTCGGCAGTGCCGTCGATATAGAGTTGAGCATAGATCGCCGCAACCCTGTCCAATTCCTCCCAGACAATCTGGAACAGGGCTAACACATCTGCAGAGAGAGCCTGCGCATAGACCTGTCGGAGTTTGTCCAGTGTCTTGTAACTCGTTAGCCACGAAGTCTCCTATTTCTCGAGCTATACGGAGTAGTGTACCTTTACAACCTGAACCTTTAGGGCGACAATGCCTCGAAATGAAGCATCATCAGGTTTCATCGTAGGGTCCAGCGGCTGCTTCAGCGTTTCCATAAAGAACGGCATCCACGCCTTCAGCGACTCGTTCAGAAAGGCCTTCACTGCCGCTCCGTGATCAGCCATGACCATCTCCAGCATCTCAAAACAAGCTCTGAAGACATTGAGAGTCATAGCTCTCACTATCAGGCTGCGAGAGTTATCAACCGCAACGTGCTGCAAGGCATTGACGAGATCTCGGGCAACCAAGAAGAACTGTTCGTCTGTCAAGCCCTCGTCAACCAGTTCGGAGAGGACGCGTAACGTGCCGTGGATTGGCGCATCGTCTGTCGAGGTATTCAGGATTGTAAGGAGAGAGGGTAGCAGCGAGGGCCACGCATCGGGAAAGTCAACACTGGCAATTTTGCTGGCGACACCCGCTGCTAGCGCCTGGATACTTGCGTCCTTGGGTGCTTCCTCGCCTGCAAGCGTGCAGATGGCGAAGACCCGGTCACGGACGCTGGACTTTGCCTCGTCATTGAGATACACGTTTCCTGCAAAGGTCTCGTCAAACTGCGGCGACCACGTGGCCGAGACGTAGTTCTTCAAAGCTGTCAATGCAGCCTTGCGAGAGCTGGGCTCGACATCATTGTGCGAAGCAATCGTCAGGAGCGCAAAAGGAAACTCTGCTTGAGGGTAAAGTCGAAGAAGTCCTTGCTCGGCATCTCTAATGACGGATGTATCTGGTCGGGTCGTCGCTTGCAGGAGATGGAGGACCTGCTGCTCCATTGTCGCTAGCACGAGGCTGGCTCGATGCGGGAGGCGGAGGCGGGATGCGGGATGATCGTCAGGGAGAGGGGAGGCGGAGTGGTTTTTTTTTTCCCTTCCTTCCGCTTATGGCTTGCAGGCGGAATCGACAGCTGAGAGACCAGAGGATTCAATGAATCATACACAAGCCAGTATCAGGGAAGTTCTAGAGAGAAAGTGATGGGGGAGAAGATGCACAAATGCTGCGGGCGCGACAAGTGGGTAAACACTTTGAAACCGCCAAGGCCAACGTGTGCCGGCCTCTGATTGGCTGCCTTGCGCTTCCAGGTCTCAGCCTGATCGATCGTCTGCCAACGCGTCTTTGAACGACACCAGAGGGCGGAATGGATGGGGGCTAGAGGCTGACGGGAGCAACAGACAGGGGGAAATATACCCTGACCACGTCCGACTGCTAGAGATGGCAACGTCTGTGTGACAAGACTGGCAGAATCTCCTCCATCGCACAAGGCTGTCACTAAAATGTCAGCCTTTCTGAACCTATGGAGTGAAGAACTAGTTTGTGTATCTGACGGCGTAGGAATATTATGTATTGCTGGCGCTCACTGCTTATAGATGCGCCGAATGATATACTAATACGCAGTACTCGGGGAGGAACGAAACGGAAAAAGTACAGGGCTCCCAACTCCTTGAACCCCCTGGGTTCTCAGCCTCGCTCAAATACCAACTCATTCTCCAACCGGCATGCTTTCTACCTGGTCGACCAAGCTGCGCCAATTGCTGGCCTGTAGTTCTGCATACTTGACCCGCTCTTGACTCCAGTCTTGATGCATACGGCTGATGGCGTAGATGGTCGTCTGGAAAGTCACAATCTCGTCCCGCACACATTCCTTGATGAAGACACCGCGGGCATGTTGCTGTACTATACTTTCCTTATCGGACATGATGCTGCTTTCCACCTTCTCGATCTCTCCTGGCTTCACTTGTCCCGGTGGCTTTTGCCGTAACTGCTGCAATTTGTTTTCGGATGCTTCGATACGCCGCTCAAGTTGGGGTATGTTGTCTCTCGCATATCGATCTCGTCGGTCAAACAGATCCCGCATAGACACGAAATTGTCGCGAATCGATTTGAGATCCTCAAGAACTCCTGTGTCCCAAGCTTTGGCTTCGTCTTCGAGCAATGTCTGAGTTGTGGCAAGGTGTTTGGCCGTGGACTGAATGCCCTCATTGAGAAGCGGCACATCATTCTGATCAATCGCATAGGTGTCGTTGCTGCATTCGGTGAGATGAGAGAGTGCATTGGAGAACTTCAAAC